GGTTAGGTGACCTTCCTATGTGTTTCTATTAATACCCTCTCATACACATATATGAGAGAGAGAGAATATGTATGGAGAGAGGATATATTTATGTATGTACACACTATGTATGTATTTATAGTGTATATTATATATGCTATATAATGCTATATATGTCATTACCTAGTTTCATTTTCTTAAACTTTCATAGGTAATTTTTTTATTTGCTTGTTTGTTGTCTGTCATCATCCACCAGAATATACATTCTCTGAGGTCAAGGACCTTGTCTACTTCTCACCACTGTGTCCCCACTGCCTACAACAGTGCTCATAGTAGAGACTCAATAAATATTTACCGAGCAAATGTAGATATAATTTTTTTGAGGCAGAGTTCCTCATGTTGCTGTATAGTTCCATGCAATATTTGGGACATACTTATACTAAGAAATTATTTGTTGTTTATCTGAAATTACAATTTAACTGACGGTCTTGGATTTTTTTCTGGCATCCCTCCTCCCCACCCCCACCCGACATTTGGCAGTATCTGGGGACATTTTTGAATGTCAAGATGGGGTGGTGGTACTACCGGCACCTAGTGTGTAAAGGCCATTTACAAGGCTAGGACTGTCCCTCTAAGGCAAAGAATTATCCAGGCTACAACGTTAACAGTGCAGAAGCTGAAACACCCTGAACTAGACGGCCGTGAACTTTCAGGGTCCCTAGTAAACAGTGCCTAGAATTTCTAAGTTCATCTCCTGTTTCAAAGGCAACATGGGGTTAGTGAGAGGAAGGGGTCCGGGGCTGGAGACCCGGCTTTAAAACCCCGTGCACCTATGTTCTGGACGCTGATAACGGGACGCAAGAGAGCCGGACTATCTATTGCGGCAGGGGAAGTCACGATGTCAAAAAGGCTGCGCGTGACGGTCATCGTGGCCGGTAAAGCGCACCGCGCCCACCAGCTGAGTGAGCCGGGAGACATGCTCTAGGCCCGACTAAGAACACGTCCTGCGGCTGCCGGAAGTAGGGAGGCGCTCAGTAACACACCGGAAGCGGCCGGCGGTGAGGCGTCCTCCTCCCCTAGCAACGGTCGTGAAGGAAGT